CAAAGAAGGCTCTTCCACTTGTGACTGGGTGCATTTCTTCTGTTATTAGAGATTATTCCATTTCCTACTTATCCAAAGCCCAGATTATTTTAAGAGCTCCAGAATTTGCTTATTCTGAGAGGTCCAGAAGCTTTCTGATCCACAGTGCTGGTGGTATGTTCACGATCTGGAATTGTTTTGTCCTTCTGGGTGGATCATGATCATTGGTACCTTCCCTATGTAAGTCCAAAAACTTTTATCCTAGTCAGTGACAACATGCCTCATCCCAGATGTGCCCAGTCTTGTCAGATCAATCTCAGACAAATGCCATGTAGACAGCTAGTGAGTGGTATGGGTGGATCAGCACTGATACATCTTCTGGAAAAAATAAAAGGTGCATGTCCTACCTCCATCCACCTTTAAGACCAGCAACAAATTCTTTTCTTTTGTTTCCTTTTCTTTGTTTTTCTCCCCTTTTCTCTCCTTTAGGTAGATTGTGTTTGGCAACTCCCACATTATCTGAACCAGATTTCCATCCTAAAAATTAAAAATAACATTTTATACAGTATTTTCTCACATGAACTTTAGACAGTCTGGTGAGAAATAGGCAGAAAGATACTATCAATGTGGGGTGAGGTAGAGGGAATAGAGCCTAAAATTTTAAGATCACATTGCCTTAGGTCAACTTCCAATCCTAACAATGTGATCTTGGGCAAATAATTTAAATTTTCTCTAGTTCAGTTACTTTCTTTATTAGGAGGGATAATAACAATAGTATCTAACTGAAAGAGCTATTACAAGGATTAAACTAGCCAATACCTATAAATAATTTAGCCCAGTAATAATTTAGACAGGTAATGTATTAGCAAAATTTCCCCATTATTTCACAGCACAAATACATAACAGAGATGGGACTCAGATCTGCCTAGGAACCCAATATTCATTCTAAGAAGTCCCACAGTAGTGCGGTTTAATTTCAGATCCTAAGTAGCATATTTTTGAAATCTCCAGTTCACTGGCCCCAGAAAACTCTCACTCTAAGCCTCTTGGATTCCTAAGAACAATCTAGGCTGCTTAGATACTCATGATATCTGGACGTAATTCTAACGATGGATTCACAGTGCTTATATTTGTGCTCCTACAAGGCAGAAAAACGGTGTGTTTAAGCATCTGGCATTTTTCAAAAAGTTCATGCTCAATAAAGAACTGTTAAAAAAATACAAATACAGTCAGTCTGGAGCTTATCTCTTACTTTAAATCTTCAAAGGACAGCCAAATCTGTCTCAACTAAATTCAAAAGAATCAATGAGATAGTACTTATCTCCTCAATGAAAAACATACAGACAGCTCATTTATTTTTAAGCCTTCACTTCAATGTGCGAGTGTAGAATTTCACGGGCTGCTAAGATACTGTAGGTGGCTCTAAATTGCCCCAAATTTTCCTACATTTTCCTTTAGAAGGGCAAAAGAAGGCACATGAGGAGTAAGAATGTGGTAAATTCTAATCATTTCTTCAGTGGCTGCTTTCTTGTATGACCCATAGTGTTATTTACCCCTATTTTAAAAAAGGGTGTAATACTGATCTGTATATATATTTGGTTTAGGATTAAAAATGTAAAGTATACTCATAGTGCTGATGTTTAAAGAAGATTAATATTCACACATTCGATGGTATAACCAGGTTATATCAAATAAAAAAAACCCTGCTTCTCAACTCTTTAACTTGTTAATGTAGCTCCTTCCAGAATACACACACACACCCATTTACATATATGTTTGCATTTTTCCCATTGATGGAGTTTGTAGCATTCTTAAATACTTTTTAGGACTCGTTCTTGTTTTTGCTTGGTTTTACACAATATGTCATACACTTCTTTCCATTTGACTTAAAATAAAAATTTTAATCCAACTCTGATTTTGTAGTCTTCACAAACTTTATAAACTCTTACCTTATGCTTTTAACATTTTAAAATATGTTCATCCTCCAGTCTTTACTACTTTATTCTGATCTACACAGACAACTTGCCCATGAATATTCCAACTTGGTAACTTAAAGCATAGTCAGTTATTGTGTCATTCAGATCACACTGAATATTTTTCAAATACTTCATTTAACAAAAAATACCAAAAGTCTATTATGCTTGACATTGTGTGTGTGTGTGTCACATTCCAGAACACCAGCATTGTGATGTATGAAGACACATTCTTCATCTAAATTGTACATACTGACATGAATAACAGTATTTCAGGTTAACCTTATATTAAAGTTATTTATTTAACCAAACATTATCAGGGAAGTGTTTTGACATACTAAGCAGATATTTCTCCCCATTATTGTTAATATCATTTCATCAAAACTCAAGGTAAATCTGAGAAATTGAAATATAAGCAAAAGGAACTTTTCCGTAAATATCAACAAGGTAGAAAAAATGGCTTAAGGAGCATGTCTGACTTTTCAGCTAAATCACTTTAATTTTTCCTTGGAAGAACAACTGAAAGAATGCAAAGTGCATATACGAAGGCAGTGGTACATGGGGATCCCCAGGGGAGTCAGCAGCCCTCTGTAATTCAGCTGGGTATGTAGAGAATTCAGTTATTCCAAACAATTTGTATACTAGGGGTTATTCTCCATAATCCATTTGGGCTATGCATAATTTAGTAAACTGAATTAGATTTTATTTCCAAAGACTGTTTTTCCATGTCATTGCACACTTACAGACACAACCCAGGCATGATGTATAACCTACTCCTAGCATTCTGCTTCCCAGAAATGGGGATAGCAGCAATGTCTTTAACTCAATAGACAATATGTTTTTCTGACTAATCACTGTTTAGCAGGAAAATGGACTCAAGTTTCTAAACTCTAATGGAAATTTAAGGTAAAAGAAATTTTTAAACAATACTTGTCAAAGAATTAAACTCTTACTGAGGTGATCAGTAACGTTGCCGTAGGGCTAGAAACCTATGGGGATTTTCACCACCCCTAAGATTTATAAAAGATAATACCACTTAAATTTAGGCACCCCCAAAATGAATCTTAAGTAGATTTAAAGTATTTTATAAATTCCATTCATTTAACAAATACCAAATGCCTGAGAAAAGTTGCAAAATAACTGTTTGTTGGATAAATACATATCCCGTATATGTATGGCTTTGGGTTTGATGTAAGGAACTATAAACAAAGTGATACAGAATCTACCCTGGAGGAACTTTAACTAGACAGACAAGTACATAGGAAGTGCATAAATTCTGTAGGAAGCAGAAGGTGATACACCTTTTAACAAGATAGATCCGACCACTTGCTATAGTTGTCAAAAGGGAGGAGGCAAGAGTTTGTAGTGGGTTGAAGGGCTGACATGATTGGGCCATGAGGCTAGGAGAGGAGCAGCCCAGAAGGAGACACTCTAGCATGCACTGACACAGGGGTTTGCAGACACTGGTAAGGAATGGGAAGCTAGGGAACAGTTTTGTGAGCAGGGGAATGATACCGTTACTGGTTGTGGCTGGGAAGATTAATCTGCACAAAGTATGGAATGTGTGGGAGATGGAAAGACGTAGGAGCAAGAGTAGACAACCTGCAGGTCCTTGGACATGTGGAGCTGAACCTTGGAAACAGTTTAGGGTGGGCGATAAAGGTTTGGGACTCTGGGGGGTCTCTTCCTTTTCCTTGTTCATACTTAAGAAGCCCTGAGAGCAGAGGGTGGAAGGCAGTGGTATCTGAAGGGCCAACATCTGGCACTCGAGAAAACCACTCAGCACAGGGTAGGTCCATGAAGAGGCAGGAAGTCAAAATGGAGAGAACCCAAGTTGGTAGTGCCTCCTAGCGCACATCAGGACTAAAACAGAAACAGGGATCAAATTAGATACATTTAAAACGGTTCTATTTGCACCTTCTTCAACAGCCATCTTTCTTGGCCTAAGAAACTCGGGCGGGAATCCCAACTTTAAATATACTATCAATGGCCTACATTCTTTTAAAAAGGGAATTTCAAGCTACGTTGTCTCCCTGAAAGTCCCTGTAACTGTGCCCGCTGTTCCCATTTCTGTTTCGTGCCGTTAAGGAGCACAAAGGTCAGGACCCTGGAGAGCCCAATGATGTTATTACCCAAGTTCACCCTGTCTTTACCGCACCCTGAACGTAGGGAAACGTCTGGGTGTCTGACCGGTGGCCTCACCAAGGAGGAAGCGGGGACAGTTTCCCAGGTGTTAGGAGAGCTGGCAAAGGACAGGGCGCCGGAGTATGAACAGCGCCCCCTCGGGAAGCAAGAGTGAAGGCTGCCACCGACCTGACTTCTCCCTCAAATCCAGGAAAGCTGAGTTACTGGGGCTGGCGACGGTCTCCGAGCGGAGCTGGAGGTGCTCCGAGGAAAGTCAGATCCCATCTGCACTCCTAGTAACCCCGAGCTCCTGCTCCGGGAAAACAGCCCGGCCACATCACGCAGGGGCGCTCTCTCCTTGCCCCGGGTCCCGGAGTCCAGCAGCAGGCCGCGGGTCAGGGTTGGGTAGGGTTGGTCGGGAGGGCGAGCCCAGCAGCTGGAGGCAGAAGGGCCCTGGGGATTCCCCGGAGCCGTCCGAGCGCTTCTCCGCGGGGTGGCCCGGGCTTTCCCAGCCGCAGCGCGCGAGACGCCCGGGCGGCTGCGGATCCTCCCGCTCCGCGGCGCAGAAGCCACAGAGGGAAGCAGGTGGGTGTGGAGCCGGCCCCGGGACGGAGGGAGCGGCGGGCACGCGGGAGGAGAGGGAGGAACCCGCCGAGGTGTGGGCGGCGCCCGCCGGCCGCTCCCGGGCCGCGCCCTGGGAGCGGGGCCGCTGTCCCCGATCAAGCGCTCAGCTCTCGCGCCGCGAGGCCGAACCCAGGGCGTCCCCAGCGGCGCCCGGCTGGCCCCCCACTCGGGCCCGCCGCTCACCTCGAGAGCCGCGAGCGCCCCAGGCAGAGGAGGAGGAGAAGCAGCGGGAGGCGGCGGCGGCGGCCGCTCCAGCCCGCGGGTGCGCGGAGCGCGGGAGGAGGCGGAGCGCGACGTGGGGTGGCCGCGGGCGGGTGTGCGCGCTGGGCCGGCGCCCCCGAGCGCCCTGCCTCGCCTCCCGCGCGCAGCCTTTCTCCGGCTCAGCCGCAGACACACACCCACCAAGTCCCCTCCACCCTCCGCCCCCACCGGCCGCCGCCGCCTTGCAGCCGGGGCAGCGGCAACTCGGCTGGCGCGGCTTACTTGCCGGCTCCTTCCGCGCGGCGAGCTCAACCCCGCTCGATTTTTCCTCTTCGATCCCAGCCTCTCCGGTTTGGGCGGCGGCGGCGGCAGCGGGATGGGGGCCCGCGAGGGGAAGGGGTGAAGATCGATGGAGATTATTGTTCTTTTGAAGGATACCTTAGCTTTCTCCCGCCGCCTCTCCTTTGAGCCTTCCCTCTGGAGACGGTGAACCAGTCAGGGATGTAAAGAGAGGGCGGAAAACGCGAGGAGCTCCAGCCAGCCGGGGAGACCCTCCTCTCTGTGGAGGGGAGGGGATTTCCAGCGACAGATCATTGGCGAAGGGGACCGTCGCAGGGAGAGCCGCCCGGAGGGAGCGGGGAATCCCACAGCCTTTGTGGTGCCCGCGCCGCGCCGCCTGCCGAGCGGGCTCGTGGGAGCTAGGTAAGTGTCGGGGGCATCGCTCCCCGAAGGGGTCTTCCTTTAAGAACGAATCGTCGCGGGCTGCCTGGCCACGCTTGAGTTGCCGAAGGAACTGGGAACTACCAGATGGCGCCGAGTGGACTTCCACACAAAGCTGACTTAGCCCCGACAGTGTTATTAATGTAAGGCTCGGTCCCCGCGGGGAACACAAGTGTTAGCTCCTGCAAAGCTTCTGAGCAGCCGGCCTGGGAAGGGATGGGAAATGTTATTTCTAGGAGATATGAGCGCTTGTTGCCTTCTGTTCATTTGTTGGTAAATGACACACTCACACACACACACTTGTAGGTCCGGGATTTAGGGAGTGCAATGTCGCTGAGATATGAACAACCCTCAGAACACAGAGACGTGCATGCATTTTATTCTTCAGGCTGTGCGCATTCTCCGTTCTCTAGCACGGTTCCTGAGAGGGAGAACAAGTCTCTAAGGAGAGAGCTTCCTGGCTGTTTCCAACACACTCTGCTAGGGGACTTGGGATTACACTTGCCCTGAATGGCACCAGAAGACGCCGTCCGTTTATTTGCCTTATCACTTGCTTCCAATGATTAATGACCATTTTCAAGATAGTGTGCTGCCATCCATTTTCTCGAATTATGAGCATTTTTGTGTATTCATTCATAAAAATTGCTAGCGTGCAATATGCACAAGCATGCCATTTTTGCATCATTTATGACTGCACAAGTGTTATAACAATAGTTTACACTGAAAAATTTAGGATGCCTAGACAGACGTACATGGGTCAGTTTCATCCAGGTTCAGCATTCCTTCTAATCCAGTTATTCAATTAGGTCAGTATTTTAAATAGCATTTGACACTTCCGCTTTTGCATAGATTGGTTTTGGGATTTTGTTGGGAATTTAATTTTTTAAGCTCAGTTCAAAAGAAGAGGAAGGAATCGTCACTGTTTTTAAATGTGCAGTATTGTGTAGAGGTGTCTTGGTTTATTTACCAGTAGACATCGATTGAGATATAACATTTCATAGGACAAGAAAAAGATAAATTCCAGTCAAAAAACTAAAATCTAACGTGTCAATACAAAGTAACCTACTGGAAAGATTTTGAAAAAGAGAGTAACATTTAAAAAAAATATGTATGTTTAAAATAAAGTTTTACTTGGTCTATTTCACACTTTAGAGGGATGTGTGTGTGTGAATAAATATGAAGTTGTCCAAAGCTTATGTGTAAGACACGAATAAGATCTATAGACATCTAGACTAGAGAGCTGTTGGTTTTTAAATTAATCAAAACTTAAACAGTTCAGTAATTTATCCCATTATGCATGTATGTGTGCATTTAATTGCTGGTAGAGGTGGTGTTTTTTTTAATATATTGCATAAATGTTGTGCTTACTTGTGTGGCTGCTGCATAGGCTTTCTGAGAATATTGAGGGTCCAATGTATACATAACTTAGTTTCTCCACTGAATAAAAATATCCTCTTCACCTAAAAGAGTGAATAAACCTCTACAAAGGAAACACTATAATCCCCTCCCTCTTGCTGTCAGGTTCAGACCAATTGTTTATCACAAATAGAATTCTATCTAATGCACTCTTTTTCCTTTCCTGGCACCACTCAGACTCTTGGAAAAAGGACTGAATCACTTGGCAGTTCACTTTGCTTTCTTCCTCCTTTTAACCTTCACCTTACCATCTCCATGTTAGTGTTCACAAATGTCCCTCATACACAAGCACACACTCCAGAAAATAACTCCATTGCCTGCCACTTTGAGAATTCTAGTGTCTCTCTTTTCTTTTTCTCCTATGGTTTTTCTAGAAAGAATCAGTCCATGTATCAGTTGAAACTATTTCCAATTTCACTTTTCTGTGACTCCTACAGTACAGCTTTCTAAGCATACATGGTTACTGAATATTCAGATAGGGTTACTGAAAGTTACTACCTTATGTACGCCTTTCTGTTTGACTTTAAAATTTCCTTGTTGGTGCCATGGAGCAACTGTAAACACAAACTTACCCTTCTAATTTCCAATATGGTAGCAAAAGTGAGACTGCTAGAAAAATGAGATAGAAGTATATGCAGTCACATTTCTTGGCAACCTAAAAGCATATCTTCCCAGGTTTTCTACATACCTGCCTATATAACTGTGAAAAACCTTCATTAATCAATGAAAAAATTTTTTTCTTGAATTTATATCTGATGTTTTGAAGTGGTATTCTAGAGAGACTGGTATATGTGCATACATATTATGAAAGTACACCAAATCACTGGTAAAATCCAGGAAACCTACAAGGTATATCTCATTGTGACCTAATGCATTGTGGGGTTTTTATTGATAATTATCAGGAAGAATTAGTTACTTGTAATGTGCTATCCCTTAGAGACTAATTCCTAAAGAACATCCTTAAAGTTGATACGTTGTCTTCTTCTATTCATTTTTACGATAAATATGTAAAATTAAGATATAATATTTACTTCAAAATGTAGTATTATTTGATATTTGCTTATGTTTATCAAGTGGATTTTGCATAAAATAGTGACTGTTCTTTTCACAAGGGCTTCTGAGGAACGGAGAGTATACATCCATTATATGTGATATTTTTTAAGTTCAGATTATTTTTAAGATAAGAGTTTATGGCCTTGTTTTTCCCAAAGTGAGTTCAGTCTTAAATTTCTTAGTTATATGGTATGTTGCAAGTATCTTCATATTCCAGACCTATAATCCATTCTCATTCATTACTTATTTCCTCCTTGTGCTTCCTAAATATATATTCCTACCAACTCTTTACTGCAAGCCCAGGTTATCAGACAGAAGGTCAAGTGTGTGAGTCCAGGGGCTCCTTGGCCTTTGTAAGCCAATCCAACATATTATCTTTAAGGGAAAAGTGCATGTTCCTATAGGTAAAATTATACCTATCTATATTGTCTAATTTAATATTGTGTATCCACTCACTCATTAAGTAATTAATTTATTATTCATTAAGTATGTATAAGTGGAAGAGTGCTTGATTAAAATGTAATAAATGCAAACCAGGTAGAAGACAGTTTCTGCCCCTCAATAATTTTTGCCGTGTACAGTAAGACTTGCATATATACCTAATTGAAGAATCATGAATTCAGTTCAAAATCAGGGGTCTTTTGCAAACACAAGTACATTTAACAATTTCACAATTAATAGATTAACTAAGGCAAATACATGAAGAGGACTGTGAAAATTCACAGTCCATGAATTGCATAATTATCAGAAAACAATAACTTTTATTAAATGATGAGCTTTTAAAGTGAAATTAGAACATTATTATTACAAATTCTTATGTCTTAATAATTATCGTTATTTTATTTATACAACAAAATAAATTTATTATTACTAGTATTGTTATAGCAAACACTTGAGCCAGGATATGTTTTAAGTGTTTTATAAATATTAAATATTGTATATGCTCACAACCACCCTATAAGGCAGCTGTCACTTATACTCCTTAGTATATAAATAGGAAAATTAAAATACAGAGACTTTTCTTGTTTAAAATCACACAAGAAGTAAATGGTACAGTCAAGCTTGAACTCAGGCATTCTGGCTCCACTTAACCTCCACCATATTAAACAGTATTGAGAAGCATGAAAAGATATTTGCAGCTCTTAGATTTATTTATTTAGTTATTATTACAGGGATGATTGGAAAAGGCTAAAGTAGGGACTTAAAGTAGGAAAAAGCCCCAAAATTTCCAACACGAATTTGAAGTAAGAAGTTAAGTTAGTTAGAAGCTGATTTTTAAAAGATGGGTAGACTTCTATCAGAGTGCTAACATGTTAATAAGTACTGCTCTTAGGGTGACTACAGAGAATAAGGCTGGCAGAGACAGATAATCTCACTGGTCAATTTCTGATTATGGTTTATTTTATTTTCATTTTAGTGGTTTTTTTTTTACAATGTGTGAATTATTTTGAACAGAGTATTATTATACATATTTTTAATATTAGTTTTAGAATTATATACTCATATATTGAAATTATTAGTTTTGCAATACAATTTTCTTTTACCCATGTCCCCATCTTTTCCTCCATAAAATATATTAAGGGAAATTGGACTATAGTTACTTAACATGTTCACTTTCTAGTATATTGTCTAGAATACATTTATTTTAGTAACTATAATAAAATTATGAAAGCATAAGTAAAATAAAAAATTGCTGAGATTTTCACCAAGAAAAGTTTATACAATATTTGTATAAATTTCTTTCTAAATAGCCATTGCTTCTGTTTATGTGAAAGTGCCATCTGGATTAAATTGGAAGATACAATGCCCAAATATTGCCTTCCAGATGCCATACAATCAAATATTTAGATACATCCTCATGATCAGCAATTTTCTTTTCTTACAGATATTAGGTCTCATAGGCTGTCACATTGTATAGATAACTCATCCTACTACTTGCAGCATAAAAATTTATTTTAAAAGTTTGTTTTTTGTAACTTGCAACACATTTATAGAAACAACCCTTTAAGTGATATTTAGGTCTCCAGAACAATCCGCACCTGTCTTTTTTTGAAATCAGTGATATACCTAAAGTATATCATACTGTTAATACTAAAAACACAACCGTTATGTATAGCAGTATTCCTTGGGGGAATAATTTGATTCAAATAATATGTACTGACTGCTGCTTCCTCTGTGCAGAGCTCCTCTGGGATACAGAGGTGAGCAGTGTACTGCCTGGATCTGCAGAAGGAGAGAAGACTGAGAGAGTTTGTATAGAACTGACTCTGACATTAGGCAAAATCAAGAAAGCTTTATAATACTGGTATAGGCAAAATGTTGAATAATTGATTCAGAGTTCTATCGTGAGAGCCAAAGACTTCATACTTCCACAGGATTCTTATTTGTTATTTCACCTTCAAGGTATCTATGGAACTCCTTTTCTGTGCCAAGCCCTAAGCAGGTGCTGGAGACATAAATATGAATAAGATATCATCCACTGACTGCCTACACTTGTAGACAAATAAATCATA